AACTCCATGGATCCACATTTCTAGGTTAAAACCCTGCTTCCCAGCTTCACCAGCGGATTCCGTAGAACCTATGCTTACCCTGCAAGCTCAAGACACACCCTTTCGAGAAACTGAAATGTTTGCCTGCACTCCTAATCCCTCTAACGCCCTCAAACTCCATTTATCCCGACTCCCAAGTCTCCCTCCATTACAGGAACAATGACCACTCCCGTTAACGTTATCCTGTTTCTCTTACTGTGCCTAGTAGGTGTCTCTAAATCCCCGTACATTTGGCGGTTCACGGTGCGAGACACTATTACAGGAAAACAAGGTCCACCATCACACACCACACAACGTCCCCACCAGGCACCTTTTTTTGGTGCAACAGAACCCTTTCCACATTTATCTTTCTTAATACCTCCGTCCGTTGCTACCTAGTCACTGTCGTTCCCCAACTAACTTTCTATTCCCACGCAGAGCTTTTCCACCTTTTCCATCTGCCCCCAAGACAGCATCGAGCCGTCTTTCTCCCAGTCCTAGTGGGAACGTCCTTAACGACATCAATTGTTGCAACCGGCCTGTCGGGCGGGGCCTTAGGACATACTTTATGGACGGTACAAGACGTTAATAACAAACTACAAAAGGCCCTCACCTCCACAGCTGAATCTCTATCTGCCTTACAAAGACAAATCACCTTCCTAGCTAAAGTTACCCTACAAAACCGCCACGCATTAGACCTCCTCACGGCAGACAAGGGCAGCACTTGCATCTTCCTCTGGGAAGAATGTTGCTATTATGTCAATGAATCTGGACTAGTAGAAACCGATATTGTCAAACTCACAAACTTAGCCTCAGACCTCAGAGCCAACCACCCTGATCCTTTCTCTTCTTTTTTCCAAGGCTCACTTCTCACCTGGGTATGGCCAATATTAGGACCCCTCACTGTTATATTCATTGCCTGTCTTTTTCTGCCCTGCATTATAAAATTCATTCAAACTCAACTCAGAAGAATCTCTAACCAAACTTTTAACCAGCTTTTACTTAGGAACTACCACTACTCCTGGCCATAGGATCCTGCCCGCTCTTCACCAGATCAGCTAACCCGCTGTTAAAATGGACCTGCCTCATCGATGGTCCTTGTTCCTGGAAGCTTTGGCCACAGACGCCTGGATGCTCTCCCCTACAGCCTTCTACACACACTGGACTCAACAAATCACCGACCTGTGGCTTCAGGGAACCTTTCTAGAGTTCTCCCCCTTCGAAATTATCTTATTCTCTACCCTCTTTTGGGTCCTGTTACAAAATCCCCAATCTCCCCCCAATTCCTCTTCCGCTACTACGCCCCCATCCAGCAGGAAGTAGCTTGAAGATCATGGCGACCCATTCCCACAACAGAGGGAAAAGGGAGGAATGTAAGGATACTGTAGGCACTCACAACAGAGGAAAAAGGGAGGAATGTAAGGATACCATGGGCATTCAAGCGGAGGGGGAAGGGAAAAGCATTCCCTAGCAATATGGCACCCTTCCGGGTTCTTCTCCACAGTAAACAAAGCCCGTCGGCGCCAACACCCAAGCCCACCCGCGCCAAACCTCAGCCAGTCACAAGTCAAGGTTCACCTCCTGCCCAGCCCCATCCAATCAGCTACCGTCCCATCCACCCCCTATCAAAACCCGGAACGCAGCTCCCTATAAATGTACGCGCAGTCCTTGAATAAAGCGGAACTTCTCTGGCAAACTGTTAGCCCGGGTCTCGCGTGATTCCTTCATCTGTGTGCCCCTTCACTGGCCAGTCCTATATAGGATCCGAACCCACGGCAGGAGCGTTGCTGCACTCCCAGCGCCGTACTCTCCTGAGTACGCCACGGGGCTAGCCCTATTTACACATTTAAGAACACTGTTTTGAAAAGGGGTCCATAAACTTCACCAAACTTCTAAAAGTGTACATAGTTCTAATTTGTTTCAGTTCAGGTACCTGCAACAACCTTCTGGGGGATTTTGTTTAAAATGGCCTCAGTTTAGAAATTAGAGGTCAAAGCTTTAGCCCAGCCCATATCAACCAAGTCTGATACTCTAGACTAGTTCATGCTACCTTAGTGCCATGAAAAAAGCATAACACATTTGAAAACAAATTTTCTATAAAACTGCTATGGTTCGAATGTGTCTCCCAGACTTCATATGTTGGAAACTTAATCCCCAATGCAACAATGTTGGGAGATGGGGCCTAATAAGAGGTGACTAATAAGAGGGCCTAATAAGAGGGTGGAGCCCTCATGAATGAATTTAAGGTAGTTATCACAGGAGTGGGTCAGTTATCACAAGAGCAGGTTGTTATAAAAGGCAGCCCAGCCCCTCCTGCTTTCTCTTGTCTTTCTGCCTTCCCTTATAAAATGGCACAGCAAGAAGGCCTTCCCTGGATGCTGGCGCCATGCTCTTGGACTTCCCAGCCTCCAGAACTGAGAAAAATACATTTTTCTTCAGAAATTACCCAGTCTGTGGTATTCATTGTTATAGTAATAGAAAACAGACTAAGACAAGAACAAACCATAAACTGTTCTCATGTTACCCATTTGAATTGGTACGTGTATGTGTACAGTACAGGGAGAATGTGTGTAGCTGTCAAGCTTGTTTGATCATAATTAAACCTCCTCCATTTGAGCCTCAAGTTGGCCATATCATTGGAGCTGAATTCCCCAAGAATACACTAATTACCAGTCTAGTGCTTTTCACACTACCAAGCTGTGCAAGAAAAAGCACATTGGAAGAAAAAAGAAGTAATGTCACGACTCTTTCCTGAGTCTTTTGCACTTGTCACCTACTCTTGGCAAACCTGAAGATAACAGTTGGCATTTCTAAATGATATTTTCTGCAAGCACAAGTATCAGCTTCATATATTGTCTTAAACCTCCAATATTCAGAGGGAGGGTAATTTTGTCAACAATAATTGGGGGTATTCTCTTATTTGGCTTTCCAAAAGACCAGTTTTGTCCCCCATTGTAAATTGGATCATCTTCCCAAAGCCATCCCTTCTGAGTCATCCTACAGGGAGGTGATTTTCCACATAATTCTTCCATCTTGATGAAGCATCCCAGTATTGTCAGTTACTTTAGATCTTTCAAGACAACCCAACCAAGTTTGTCATGTATGCCACCAAGTTTTGTGTGTCCTTTTCAAATCCTAGTTCCCCTCAAGTCTCTAAGAGTCCAATAATAATTAATGGACAAGTCAAGGAATCTGAGTAGCTTCTAGTCCCCACAGCTAAGCGACTAAGCAATCCATCTTTGTTGACCACAGTTTCCTAATCTGCAAAATGTGTGGATTCGTGGAGATTCTCTGAGCCCCTTTTTATTTCCAATATTCTTTGCATTGTATTGTGAAGTACTGAAACTCTGATGACATTTAGGACATGTGACTAATGTCACGCCACCCTCAAGAAAGACCTGGGCCAGTTGTGAGTAAACAGGGCAGTGAAGTGAGATTGGTAAAAGAGAGACATGGTGATTGTCTAGCCGAGTCCCAGGACTAGTCAGTACTTCACCAGGCGGAGGTGGGTGGGGCCGGGGGCCGCCGTTGACGACAGAAGGCCACTTCCGGCTGTGGTGCGTATGACGTCAGGGCAAGTCGGATCGGCCCAGCCGCCGGGAAGCCGAGGAGGGAGAGCTCGCGATAGTTCAGGGAGGCCGCCCCGAGATTCCGGCGCGGCCGCGGGTCCCACCTCCCGGGGGCGGGGCGAGGGCGGAGCGGGGAGAAGGGAGCGGACGGGCGCCCGGCCGGCTGCGGTCCGTGCGGAGGCTGAGCCGGCCGCGGGCGCGACCGGAGACAGGTGAGTGCGCGGATGCGGCGCTCGGCGGCCGCGGCTGGGGGCCCGGGCGCGCCGCACCAGCCCCAACTCTGCGGGCCGGGGCAGGAGGAGAGCTTACGGGTCTTTGGGTGTCCAGGGAAAGCCGGGCTAATTTCGGGGCTGGAAATGTCTCTGGGAAAGCTCCGGCGACGGCCTTGGCCCTCTTGTCCCCCGGTTGATACTGGCCCCGTGTGTCCGGACAGGTAGCCCCGAGCTCGGGGAGGGATCTTTGTCCTTCCCTGATCCTCTCTTACTCCTCGGCCCCCGAGCACCCCGCTCCAGGTCCCTGCCTGGGCTTCATAAACAATAACAAATGTCACGGATCCTCTCCTGCTATCCAGCCCCTGCTCCCCCGTCCCGTGCCCTCCAGCCCGTGTCACCGAGAGGGAGGATTCTAGGCTTGGCTCTTCAATTGTGGGGGCTGTTTGTGTACCATTCCTAAAAACTGATGCGTCAGATTGCTAAACATTTCTCAGCTAGACACAGGAAAGCCGCCCAGCTCCCAGAAGCCGTGGAGTGTTCAAAACCGGGCTCAAAATCTGTCCCTGCCTTTGGAACCGTAGACCTTTCCTTTCAATATCGTATTCTCCCACCCCCTTTTCCCCCACTATTAGTATCGGGGACAAATGAGTGGTTGTTTGGTATGGGAATAGGAAAGATTATGCCCGATTGAGTGGGGGACGTTTCACCTTTAAAAAGTTGCCAGGTTGACAGCAAAAGAACAAACTTTGTTTGCAAAACCAGTGGCCTCCGGTTTACAGATGCTGCTTTTGTTTGGTGGGATCGCTTTTCGGGCTCTAAGTTTGGAGGAATGGTTAAAAAAAGAAATGGGAGGCGGGGGTAGAGCTAGTAGTGCTGGAAGTAGTGGCTTGTCCAAAAGTGTGATGCTGCTGTCCCCCACTTGCTAAAATGCACAACCAACGCGCTTGCCTCTTTCACGTAACTTGTGACAAGTTTTGATAGAAGCTAGTTACTGGAAATGGCCTGAGGATTAGCTTTATTACTGCTAAAATCTGAAGAAACAACTTTAAGTGTTTTATGTTATGTCTCTTAGTTGTTAGATGGGGATCGACAGATGCGACGTTGTCTCTTTTGGCGCGGGGGCTTAAATTTGACCGGTTTCCCTATTTTAAGGCAGGGTCTGTTGTTCTTAAGCCCAATTTTATTTACCCAGTGCAGATTTCTGAAAGTTCTTTGTCTCAGTCATATATGTGTATAAGATACTAGAAACCTCTTTGAACTTGATTGGCTTTCTCTTTATGCCTCAGATATATAAAACAATTAAGTTTATTATACTCTCTCCCCAGTGGCTGAGAGGTATTGTATGTGAATTAGCCATTCATGTGACTATTTGGGGGAGAGAAATTAGTCCAAAATATGATGTTAAATTATGATGTTTGTTTATCGCATAGGTTTATCAAAGTACTTTTACCTGAAAAATCCTGATCTCAAAGGAGGTAGTACAATGGGTAACATTTTGTTTTGACCTCGCTTAGATTTGTGTCTCCTGTTAAGAGGGCTGATAATGTTTCCCATTTGGGTGGCATGTATTTAGAATTAGAAACAAAGTTGGGTGTAGTTTTTGTACTCTCTTGAAAGGCCCAGCCACCTGGGAATGAAAAAATTAGACTTAAAAAAACCACATTAAATGTGCAATTCTTCTTTCATTTCTGTGTTTGTTTTAAAATAAGTCAAAGAATAGAAACTAAGATTATTTTTACAAAATACATAGGTGTCCTTGTCAGTTTTTATGCTGAAAAATTAATTTCAAAAGGTACAATGCTATAAGAACAAAAGAAAAATTGTACTTTCTAGAAAATGATACAAAGCAGTGGACTCAGTTGAGCTGTTTCTTTTCAGAAAAGTAGGATAACACACTTCAGAAAGTTCTTTCCCTGTGATCTGGTATAAGTTGGAGGCTTTTTTTTTTTTTTTTTTTTTTTTTTTTT